AACTCGGAGCAATCACTATCTTCCTGTTTTATAATAATTAAAGATGATAGAAAAAAAAATTTTTAATATTATTTTCTTACTGTAACTTCTTCAAAATTATATTTAACATTTTAATATTCAATTATTATTTTCCAAAATTTTTAACTAAAAATCTTCCCTAAATCAACTATTTTTAATAATTTTTTAAAAAGTTCTTTTTTAGAATTTTCAAATCCATTTGTCTACAATTGAGTTTTACTAAATTTCGATAAAGTTCATTCAAACTTTTTAAAGAAATTAGAATTAGAATTAGAATTAGAAAAGAAATACAGAATTGTTATATAGTTAAATGTATGAAAAATTTAAGTTTTCAAATATTTAAATTTGAAAACTTTTTAAAATTCAATTATTTCTTCAAATTCACGCTGTAATGCTTTTAATATTAAATTATTTTCTAAAATTTAAACTAAAATTCATTTTTAAAACAATTTTTATTAAAAAATTCTGCGAAAATTCCAATATTTAAATACAAAAATAAATAATTGAATGGAGAAAAATTTTTGAAAATAATTGAAATTTTGCCAAGAATTTTATTAAAATTCTTGAAAATAATTGAATTTCAGCAATTATTTGTAACTTCTCCAAAATTAAAATTTCTTTTCGTGTTTTTAACTAAAATTCTTCTATAAATAACATTATTTTTAATTATTAATTAAATATTATTACAAAATTTAACTAATTTTAGAAGAATTTGAATTATTAAAATTTTTTTTTATATTTAAGATTTTTAAAATTTGTAACTAAACTAATTCAAAATTGAAATTTTAGAAAATTTTAAATTAGAACCTGTTGAAGTTAATCTATTATATTTATAACATAACTTTTTTAAAATTCAAATAATTTTAAATAATTTATAGGTTATGTATAACAATTTTATGACAGTTCTTTAAGAATTAAGTTATTGAAAAATAAATTATTGTCAGAAATATAAAATAAGAGAAAGGTTTTGTATTAGAATTCGTGGTGATTTCATAGTTTATGAGGCAAACAAATAATACAAGAAAATTGAGAATTTTCTTATGAATTCTAAAAATAAAATTTTTTCCATTACATTTAGTAAAAATCCCCGACTTTTCCCTTAATTCCCTGTGTCAGAATATATGATTACTATAATTATAATAATATTAAAACTATATTCCAATTCATATTTTATTTTTATAAAAAAAATTTAAATTTAAAATTTGCACATTCTATTATTTTTCAAATTGCTAATATTATTTTTAAAAGTGAGTAAGAAGTAAGCCGCGTGAACTGTTGCTAGTTTAATTAATAGGTATTTAGTAATTAGTAGTATTAAAAATAATATTAGTAATATTTAATAATATTTATAATATTAGTAATATTTATAATATTAGTAATATTTATAATATTAGTAATATTTAGTAATATTTATAATATTTAGTAATATTTATAATATTAGTAATTTTACATCAACATTACCTTTGATATTACGGCAATATTACCCAAACTTGAATGCAACGCATGCTACTCAATAAATGCGGTATTGAGATTTTAACTCTTGCATTCAATTTATTATTGCGGTAGATGATAATCCTTTTGCGAATGGAGTGAGAAAATTAATAAATTTGATGGGAGGAAAAATAAAACTTTTCGAACACAATGAAAAACGATAATGAAGCGAGAAAAAAAGGAACATTTATCATTCGATACAAAATTAATTAAATATAATTTTACTTTTTAAAAATAATAAAAATAATAATAATAAATACATGTAAAAGAGAATATAATATTTTTTGTCTTTTTTTTCAAAAATTGTATCCATCCAGATTCGTGATGATGCATATTGGTAACTTCGGGAGTGGGTATAAGAGAGGATTGTCGCATTCTGGGTCTAGTTAACCTTCATTGACACCGTGGATGGCTTAGCCGTTAGTGTTAAATTCACTCATACATAAATCTAAGTCCGCTTATGCCTTTAGCAGCTTGTGCGGAATTGTGAGCACGTGCTCAGATTTCATCGTTCATAGGCACGACGACGTCGACGGTTAGATCATCCGGTTTTATTCGGTCAAACCGGCAGTCACTGTCTCTCTATAATACAATATTACTCAAATGTTCGAGGTCGTTTCTTTTTATTGATTTATGATTTTATATTAATCAAATTCTATTATCGATATTGCAAATTCATTCCTTTGTTAATAATTTGATTACTTGATTTGTTGAAATTAGAAATTAGAGAAAATTAGTCACTAGAATCTAGGCCTGCATGCGCGCGCATCTATTCTGAGAAAAATGGCAAGAAATCATGCGCGCGCATGATTTCTAGCCATTTTTCTCGGAATAGAATGCGAACAGTTGTCTACAACGCATGCGTGCGCATCAGTTCCGAGAACAACGCCTAGTGGCGTGTGGCGCAACTATATCAAAATTACAGATTCCTAGAATACTTTAACAGACTTCGCACTCGATAATTAATTTTAAAAAAGTAGCAAAAAGTAGCTTTTAAACTAAAAAAAAAAAATAGTAAAAAAGTATCCATCGAAAAATTAAACTTGACGATCAAAAAAATTCGTTTTAGACACTTCACAAAACTGACAAGAATTCCATTCTATATTTTATTTCCTGACTTTTTCCTAATTTTCATCAAAAAATATTTACTTCTTTCTTATCCTGCTAATAAATTCAATTCCTGCAACGAATTTTATTGGTCATGAAAGAATTTAAATATTTATAAAAATAATTTAATTCTTGCGAAGAATTTTATAAAAATTTTCAAATAATTCTTTTCTTTTGACTAATTTTATGAAAATTCTAATTTAAAGAATTGAATTCCTGAGAAATTTGAATTATTCATGAAAAGAATTGAATTCTTATGAAGATTTGTACAAACCATTTTTTAAATAATTGAACTTTGCAAAGAATTTTATTAAAATGCCTCAAAATAATTGAATTTTCGCAAATAATTTTGTTATTTTCGACATAATTGAATTCTTTCGTATAGCATTATTAATCTAAATAACTTAATTCTTGGGAAGAATTTTATTAAAATCTAAAAGAATAATTGAATTATTTAAAAAAAAAAAAAAATTAATTAAAATTGCGTTTAAAAAAATTGATATCTTTTAAACAATTTCATTGAAATATTTGAAAATAATTGAATTCCTGTAAAAAATTTTAATATTTTTGTAAATAATTAAATTTTTCCAAAGAATTTGAAAAGCATATTTTTTTAAATAATTAATTTTTATCGAAGCATCGGAATTTAATTTTTATTAATAATTACAATTTTTGAGCTATTCCTGTGAAATTATGTATTAAAAATAATTGAAATCCTGTTTTGAATTTTATTATTTATGAAAATAATTGAATAATTGAAATGAATTTTATTAAGTTTTCAAAAATAATTGAATTCTTTCTAGGAATTATTTATGTAAATAATTAATTTCATGGGAAAATTTTTTTTAAAATCTAAAAAAATAATTGAATTATTTCAAAAAAATTTAATTAAAATTGTATTTAAAACAATTGATTTCTTTCGAACAAGTTTATTAAAATATTTCAAAATAATTGAATTCCTGTTAAAAATTCTAATATTTTTGTAAATAATTGAATTCTTCCAAAGAATTTTAAACAAACATTTTTTCAAATAATTGATTTTTTCGAGGAATCGAAATTAAGTTTTTAAGAATAATCACATTTTTTTGAACAATTCCGGTAAAATTTTATTAAAATTAAAAATAATTGAAATCCTGTTATGAATTTTATTATTTATGAAAGTAATTGAATACTTGCAAAGAATTTTATTAAAATTTTCCAGAATAATTGAATTCCTGAAAAGAATTTTATCATTTATGAAAATAATTGAATTATTGCGAAAAATTTTATTGAAATGTTTAAAAATAATTGAATTCCTTTGAAAAATTTTGTTATTTTTCAAAATAATTGAATTTCGTTGAAAAATTTTGTTACTTTTCAAAATAATTGAATTTCTTTGAAAAATTTTGTTATTTTTGGAAAAAATTGATTTCTTTATAAGGATTTTATAAACATTGTTTTAAATAATTAATTTTTTCGAATTTTAATAAATATTATGAAAATTTTATTTTAAATAATTGAATTCTTGTGGAAAACTTTATTTGTGAAATTGAAAATAATTGAATTTTTAAAATTAATTAATTAAAAATAGTATTAAAAATAATTGAAATTTTTCGATGAGTTTTATTATTTATGAAAATAATTGAATTCTCGTTTGGAATTTTATCAAAAATGTTTTTAAATAATTGAATTTCCATGAAATATGTTATTATTTCTGAAAGTAATTGAATTATTGTAAAGAATTGTATAAAAATTTTATAATTGACTTTTTCGAAATTTTTTGTTAAATGCTATTCTAAATTAACTGAATTCGTTTGGAAATTTTATTATTAATGAAATTAATTGAATTTTGAATTAATTTTATCAATTTTTTTTTCAATAATTGAATTCTTTCGCGAAATTTTATGAAAATGCTGGATATTTAAAATAATTGAATTTTAAATATTTTCATAAACAAATTGAATCGTTTTAAAGAATTTGATTATAATTTTTGAGAAAAGTTTTTTGATTTCTAGTATTAGCGAATTTTTATTATTTTTATTATTATTACTTCATTTATTTATTTTATTATTTATGAAAATAATTGAATTCTTGCAAAAGATTTTAATAACAAATTTTTAAAATAATTAAATTCTTGTGATGAATATTGTTATTTATGAAAATAATTGAATTTTAATTTTGGTTTTAGTGGCTGAAATCTAAAAATGTATCCAAATAGTAGCATAGCGTGAAAAAAGTAGTAAATAGTAGGTTTTAGTAGATGAGTGCGAAGCCTGCTTTAATTCAGTATTTTTTATAGAATGACGAATGTAAGGAATTGTTTAATAGGAATAAATATAGTTACGAAATAAACTTGAAGACTAAATTAAAAAGTTAGTAATTATTTTTTTGCAATTCTGTTTCAGAGTCAGGCTTTGGCACTGACGTACAAGGCTTCATCACCTACGAGACCAAATAGTGTACCCTCCTTAACAAGAAGTCCGCAATCCCAACAATCTCATCAGTCACAAACTCAGACTGCCCCTCAACCTTCGACTGTTCAGTCACATCAGCAACAAACACCAGTGAGTTCAACCCAACCAACATTTTCAACTCACAATGATCACCCTAAGCAGGAGGTCACCAGTAGTCCAAAACAGGAAGGTTTTGATCTCAGCAAATCCACTTCCGGAACCGGTAAGTGAAATCAAATTTTTTTTTTCCTCTAAATTAATTCAATTCAAAGCATAACTAAAGTGATAATATGAAATAGTGCGATTGAAAAATTGAATCAAAAAAAGAGGATTTTTTTGAAGTATGAAAAAAATGGGGAGTTTTTTTTCTTTATAATATCATGAGAGGAGAAGAAAATTGTCTATTCGGATAAAAAGAGGAGAGAAACAAAAGATTTAGAATTCACATCCCATTACGTATCACCCTTCTTATATCTCATAGGGTGCCTTCTCATGCTCGTAAATCTTGGGTGCAAACGAATTAAGTCACCTTTATATGGCGAGAGAAAGAGAGAGGGACGTGTGTGAAAACGACTTTAGCCCATTTAGACGCATTAAGGATTACTTTTCTGGGAAACGAAAAATCTCAGATGACATACCAACACACGCGTCTCTTTTGCTTCTTTCTTCTTTCTTTCACAATTTCTCGCAGGTATATTTAATATTGACTTTTAACACCGTAAAAAAAAGTTTATAATTTAGGGGCAAAGAATTTTTACATTTCTTCGATATTAGGACAAAATTATTTTTTTTAATGCAGGAAAACAAACATTTACTTGGAATAGCGATAAATTTCTCTAAACTAGCGAATGTTCCGACTCAATTTTTTTTGCATGTCAATGAAAAGCTGAGGAAGTAAATTATTTTCTCAAAATTATTCGACACTCACTAAATTTGAATTAGTAAAAATGTCTACTAATTTTAATTAGTGACTGACTTTTTGCTAAGAATTTTAATTATTACTAATAAATTGCTCACAAAATTACTAATAAATACTCAAAAAAAAATGTTCTGTTACTCTCTAAATTTGAATTAGTAAAAATGTTTACTAATTTTAATTAGTGACTGACTTTTTGCTTTTTATTTAGTAAATTTAACTAATAAATACATAAATAGATTCTACTAAATTATTAGTAAAATTTACTAAATAAAAAGCAAAAACTCAGTCACTAATTCAAATTAGTAAACATTTTTACTAATTCAAATTTAGAGAGTACATTTATTTATGAATTTCTTTAATTGTAAAATTATTAAAAAAAACATCAAGAACTCCTTTTTAAAATAAATATTTAATATCTATTAATTCTATTGATACTCTAACTTCTTCAAAAATATTATTTTTAATTATTATATTATTTTTCATCATTTCAATTCAATTTTTATTTTCTAAAATTTTTAACTAAAATTCTTCTTTAAACCAATTACTTTTACTACCTAATTTTCGAAAAAGTTTTTTAAGAATTTTCAAATCCATTTGTTTACAATTCAATTTTACAAAAATTTAGATTCTTCGGAAGTTCATCAATGAAATATAAAATAGAAAATAAAAATTTCAAATTATTTAAAAAAAAGTCAATTAAAATTGTTTAAATTTATTCTACAGAATTGTCAGTTAAAAGTATGAAAAATTCAAATTTTCAAAGATTTTAATTTGAAATCTCTACAAAATTCAAATATTTCATAAAAATTTATGCTATGATGCTTTTAATATTTAGGTAATGTAAAATTTTAATTGAAATTTATTTTTAAATCAACTTTTATTAAAAAATTCTACGAGAATTTAATTATTTAAATAAGAAAATAAATAATTTTTTTGAAATAATTGAATTTTTCTTAAAATTGAATTATTATAAAGAGCTTTATTTAAATTTTTGAGAATAATTAAATTTATTCAAGAAATTTAATTAAAAATGTATTGAAAATTTATTGCTTCTAATATTCAATTATTATAAAAAAAATTTTAACTAAAATTCAATTTTAAATTAATTATTCTTATTAGAAAGTTCCCTGAGAATTCAATGATTAAGAAGAAGTAAATAATTTTTTGAAATATTTGAATATTTCTTAAAATTGAATTTTCATAAAGAATTTTATAAATAAATTTTTAAATAATTAAATTCTTTTGAAGAATTTTAACAACATTTTTAAGAATAGTTACATTTTTCGAGGAATTCGATTAAAATTCTACGATGAGTTTTATTATTTATGAAAAGAATTGAATTCCTAAGAAGAATTTTATTATTTACGAAAATAATTGAATTCCTGTTAAAAATTTTATTATTTATGAAAATAATTGAATCCCTGTAAAAAATTTTATTATTTAAGAAAATAATTGAATTATGGCCAAGAAATTTTTAAAAAATTTGTTATTTGAATTCCTGTGGAAATTTTTTTTATTTTTGAAAATAATTGAATTTTTGCGAAGAATTTTATCAAAATATTTTTTTTTTTAATAATTAAATTCTTTTGAAAAATTTTATTCAAATACAGATATTGAAAATCATTGAACTACGAAAAATTTTTGTAAATAATTGAATTTTGCCTGGAATTTTATTAAAATTTTTGAAAATAATTGAATTTTGCCTATAATTTTATTATTTATAAAGATAATTGAAATTTTGACGAGAAGTTCCTTTAATTTTTGTACATAATTGAATTTCTGCGAAAAATTTTTTACTTTTGAAAATAATTGAATTTCTGCAATCATTTGGAACTTTTCCAAAATTCAATTTTTTTTTAGTGTTTTTGATTAAAAACTCTTCTATAAATCCATTATTTTCAATAATTAGTTAAATATATATTAAAAAATGTAATTCATTTCAGAAGAATTTAAATTATTAAAATTTTTCAAAAATGTAAGTTGTTTAAAATTTCTAATGAATTTCATTCAAAAATTGAAATTTAACAAAATTTCTAATTAAAACCTTTTGAAATTCATCTATTTATGAAAATTGAAAACGCAACTTTTTTAAAATTGAATTAATTTTGAAATGTTTAAGTAAAATTATTCATTAAATAATTCCCAAGTAATAATTTTAGGATAATTCTTCAGGAATGAAGTTATTTGAAATTTTGAAAAGAAATTATTGTGAGAAATACTTTCTCTGACTTCCCTGACCTGTGGTAACCCAGAAAAACTTAAAATTAATTATTTATTAATTATTATTATTACTTATTCAATATTTATTTTTCAATAAATGTAAATAAATAATAAATTTATTTCGTAAATAGTAATACACATTTTTACCTCTGGAGTTTAATATTAATTTATTTAGCAAACAAATTAATTCCAAAATAATAATAAACCTAAAAATTTGGAGATCTTATAAATTTAGCAAATTGAAGTGTATTTAAAATTCATATCCAATTAATTAACAAATTCTCTAAATTCAATGTCTATGACATTATTCTATTCTATTATCATATGAACAATTACAGAATTACTAACATTGACGAACATATTAAAATTCAATATGGAGTTACTACTCTCCACCTGCGAACGTCAAGGTCACCGCTAGATGGCGGTTCAGTTGATAGTAATCCTTTAGAGAGTTGGTAAAAAAATCTATTCAGAAATAAAAAAAGGAATAACCAAATTTAAATTTCAAGGGCCAAAAAATTATTTCCAATTCAAGCAAATACACAAATTTCAAAATTCAATGAATCAAAAAGGAAATGATCCAAGAAATAAATTACAGGGAATTTTTCGAACACTGATTAAAGAAAAAGAAATATGGGAAGGGGGCAGAAAATCTAAACAAAGCAAGTCACCCGTTACATTTGAGGTCTTCTTTCACGAAAATTTTCTCTGCAAAAAGGGAAGGGAGAGAATGGAGATTATACGATTACGACGACTTATCGTTAGAAGAAGATAGTGTGCGTGTGTATCATGGTATCGTTCGGATTTAGTTTATCGTCATAGGTTCTGGATTCATGCCGGTTGAATTTGTATATATATGTGTGTGAGTGTGTATTCGCTCGCGCGCGCTTAATCGCGCATAATGTATACATACACGCACGTGGGATTGACATTGAGTTTGTGTGCATGGGATTTGAGAAAGGGAGAAAGAGAGAGTGAGAGAGAGAGAGAGAGGAGAAACCTACATACGTATCTCGCAAAACGAAGGGGAGGATATTGTGACCCTTACGAACTAATCCGGATTAAATCCCAATCCCCGGCTATGCGGCTAGGCGACCTGTGAACATGTAGTATTCTCTCTACATACTATAACCTTCCGTTGTGTACCATACCATACCATATACGCATACAATATCGACCTCGACTTTAATGCTTAAAAACTTAAATCCACTAATCATTCATCGACCAAAAAAATCTAATTCGATTTTTCATTTTTTGAATGAATGAAATTTGAATTAGTCTTAATATAATCTTGCTATAAAGAGAATTATCCGCTATTTAGTTTCTTTTATTTATTATATTTTATTTATTAGCCATTACTTATTATTTTTTATATTTTATTTATAAGTCTCTACTTATTATTTATTACATATTCCATTTTATTTATTTATTTATTTATTCATTCATTCAGTATAAACGGGTTTATTAGCGATTACTTATATATTTATTATATTTTATTTACTACAAGTTATACCTATAAATTCTAATTGCTTGGATATAAAATTTAGGATTATAAAATTGATGTCAAAATTGATACCGAATTTTGAGGAATTGAAGCAAAATTGAAATTAATTGATAGCAAATTGCAAAGCAACGATTCTAAAGTAAATCCAATTGATAGCAAATTGCAAAAAGTAGTACATAACAAATTACAACGATTTGATTCCAATTTAGATGAAATAGACAATTTTGGAACGAAATGATATCTAATTAGATTTAATTGATACTAAATTACGAAAAATTAGTAAACAATTGCAACGAATTAATATCTAATTAAAAATTGGTAAGAAAAATGGCAACGAATTGGTACCAAATGGCAACGAATTGATAGAAATTAGATAAAACTGATATCAGATAGGATCAAATTGACACCATATTTCAACAAATTATTAAAAAATTCAATCAAATTGCAACGAATTGACACCAAATAACAACGAATTTATAATAAATAGGAACCAAATATTCAATACAATACTTATTCAACGTATCAATACCAAATTGCAATGAATTAGTATCAAATGAAAACGTATTGGTACCAAATTTGG